GATACATTTCTTTTATCTTGCTTGATAAAGCAAGGTTTTCTAACACTAAAATGAAAAAAAGAATGTATCTCCTTACAGATACTGGGTTTTATCTACAGCCTGTATTATTATTATTATTACACAAAATGTTTTTCTTTTTTCTCTAGTATCACATATCAAATTAACTGTCTCAAATTACTACCTAAACTGTTCTTGGTATCAAGGTATATAAAGCCATAGGAAGACTAAAGAGGATTTAGGAATTTTACTTTTTTTAAAAAAAAAAAATCACCAATCAGAAAGAATATATGTACTCCCATGTTCATAGCAGCACTATTTACAATCACTAAGATCTGGAAACAACCCAAGTGTCCATCAGTAGATGAATGGATAAAAAAGCTGGTACATGTACACAATGGAATACTATGCAGCTGTACGAAAGAAAGATCTCTTGTCCTTTGAGATGACATGGACAGACCTGGAAAGTATTATCCTAAGTGAAACAAGCCAAGCAGAGAAAGACAAATATCACATGATCTCACTTATTTGTGGAATATAATGAACATAACAGTCTGAGGAACAGGGTAGACCCAGAGACGTGGACGAAGGGTACAAACTGACAATTCTCAGAAGAGGAGGTGGTGGGGGGAGATAAACCACAGAACTTTTATGCATATACGCATAACTGATGGACATAGACAACATAGCTGAGGACGGGGCAGGGAGGGATGGGGAGGAGGGTATCAATGGAAAAAAAAGGAGAAACATCTGTAACAAAAATAAATTAATAAAAATAAATAAATAAAAAATCACATCTTTTATGAATTTTTATACTGTAACAAAGTAATCTACAAAACAAATTATGTTTTTATATTAACTTATATTGTAAACCTAGGTAGATGTTTCGGTGGATAGTGTGGTGTAGGAGAAAGATAATGGATTTTGGTGGTTTTTTTTTTTTGTTTTTTTTTTTTATCCTCACCCGAGGATATTTTTCCATTTTTTGTACAGATAGAGTGGGAGAGAGAGGAAGAGAGAGAGAGAGAAACTTCAATGTGAAAGGGACACATCGAGTGGCTGCCACCCACACGACCAACCAGGGCCGGGGACAAACTGCAACCGAGGTACATGCCCTTAGCGGGAACCGAACCCGGGTCTCTCCAGACCGCAGGCCCACTCTCTAACCGCTGAGCCAAACCGGCCAGGGCGGATTTTGGTGTTTTTATAGGCACTCTTACCTCTAGACCTAACTTTTTATATGACATTAGGAGCATTACTTACCTTCTTGAGCTTCCTGATGTTGTTGAAAAAAATTAAATATGATACAGCAAGAAAAGAACCTGGCATAGTGTTTGGTACATAGTATGTAGTACTCAATATTTGTCTTACTTTTTTCTTTCCATAAATTAGATTGTTCTCATTTTCTGGAGAGAAATGGGTTCAGGTAAGAGTCATTACCAATACCAGGATAGCAATGCCTGCTTTGCTTGGTCAACAGCGTCTTTTGGAACTATGCCAGTGTTACATGTCTGCAGGATGTTTGCAATAGATTAGAATGAAATGCTGTCTGTCCTCACAGGAAAGAACCACAGTGTTTTTAATGAGTTGGTAGTTCAAAGACATAATGCATGTAATATTTTTCAAGTGGGACAGCCTTCAGTAAATTGAGATAGGAATAGTAGAGTCCTACAATCCTAGTCCTACCCATGCCCCAGATTTGGGAGGTAGGAAGGTATAGTTGGAAGAAGTTCTCCTGTTCTGATGGAAGAAGGGAGAAATTTTCCACTTCCTATACTGGAAATTGAACCACAGTCAATATTTCTGTAAAGAAACCCCACATATTTCCATTTTATATAAATAGACAACTTCCAGTGGTGGCTTGGAGCTTTGAAGCATGAAATTGGATTTTCTTATCTCCCTTGGAAGATTTCTTGGGATTGCTCTGAACCTTTAGTATGATCTTTTGAAATATAAATCAGATCATATTTCTCTTCTGACTAAAATCTTCAGTGCCTTCTCATCACAATTTGAATTAAATCTAAATCTTTACCATAACCCACCAGACCCTATATGATCTAACCCCTGGGCTTTCCCCTGACTGTTCCACTTAAAGTAGCTACGGCCAAACTCTCCAGTTACTCTGTTGTATTATCTTCATGGCACTTTTCACTAATAAAGTTATCTTTATATATTTGTTTACATATTTATTGTCCATGTCCTCCCTGTAGAATGCAAGCTTCTTGTATCCTCAAGGTTTAGATTAGAGTCTGTCATTTAATACATATTGAATATGAACAAATGAATGAATGAATAAATGAATGAATGAAGAGTCAATGAGTCTCTGTTACTTTAACATACACATATAGGGACCTGGAACTTTAGGAAGCACAGAGATTTTAGTAGACTAGGTGTGTTTGCTTTCTGGTCTTAGAGTTCTATCCTCTCATACATCTTTCTTTTTTCTAACTCTGAGTATATGTAATGTTTTTATCTCATGCAAGCTTATATTCTGCTTATGTTTAAATGGAAATAATGCTCTAACTCTTTCTGTTTAAACTGTGGGCAATTGGAGTAATTTGTTCTTCTGAGTCAGTTGATCATGTCTTTATAAACATTTTTAATAAAAATACATATTACTTGCAACACAATACTGAGAATGCAGTTTAGTAAAACATCTGTCAAGATAGCAGGAAAATGGTTTCTTGCCTCTTTTTTTTTTTTTTCTTTATTGATTTTAGAGAGAGAGGAAGGGACTGGGAGAAACAGAAACATCAATGAGAGAGAACATTGATTGGTCGCCTCCTGCATGCCCCTTACTGGGGATTTGACCCACAACCTGGGCATGTACCCTGACCAGGACTCAAACTGGTGACCTTTTTGGTCTGGGTCGATGCTCAACCACTGAGCCACACCAGCCGGGCTTCTTACTTCATTTAAAGCTATCATATATACTGATATGCAGGCTCAAATGTCTAGATTTTGCTATTTATGTTAATAAAACTACTTTTGTTTTTATTTAGTCATTGTTATTTTTTGCTTAAATATGTCAAATTTTAAAAGAAACGATTCTTTCAACATAAATGGCCAATTCTCATTAACATTGACAAGAATGGCTCTTGATATTTGAGGAAAAGTGTATGGAATAGTATACATTTTAGTTATTGTGCTAGTGTTTTAGAATAACAGACTATGGACAATATGTCATAATTACTCTTGTCATGTCCATAGTATATAAATGAGAATATTTAGAGATTGACTTTTTTTCTAAGTATTAAAGATTGGAGTTTTCAATCAATAGAAACCAGTACTTACCCACAATAAGGACCAGTTTATATTTGTAAAATTAATTGAAAAGTATTTATATATTTTTAATTCAGTGTGTTCCTCTGAAGGTTTGGGAAGGTGTTATAAATGCCCTGATAAGCCATTCATTTAAATATTCATAAAACATTTATTAAGTATGTGTTATTTAAGGCCATAGATCAAAGCAAACGCCTTTCTGAATACTGCCCTGCAGGACTTCATTTCTTGTCTTCTTGCCTTCCTCCTTTTGTTCCTTTAGCAGATATTTAGGTCCTATTCTTAACAAACTATGGGGGTCTTATCAACATTACCCCACTCTGATTACACTGCATAGCTCCAGTATTATGTGGGAAATAGACAAATCTTCTCATTCTGGGATATTGAATCAGTGCTCACATTCTGCTGCTACTACAGATGCAAGGATAATTAGGATACAAACACTCCCCTCACAGAACTCAGTCTAGAACAGCGGTTCTCAGCCTGTGGGTCGCCTAAGACCATCAGAAAACATATTTCCGATGGTCATAGGAACCGAGACACCGCTCCTCTATCCGTCTCCAGGCAGGTCTGCCCACATGCAGATATGTCCACATACAACATGAGGAACTGTATTAAAGGGTTGCGGCATTAGGAAAGTTGAGAACCGCTGGTCTAGAAGGAGAAACAAATATGTAAACAAAGACATTACAAGTCAGTTTGGTAAATATGATAATGGAAGTATATGTAGCATACTTCTTACGAGCCCAAGCTTTGGAATCAGTTTGCCTGGATTTAAATTCCACTGCATCAGTAGCCATTTGACCTGGGGTAAGTTACTTAATTTTAGTTTTTTCATCTATAAAATGAGACTAATAATGGTATCTGCTGTTGAGTTATGATGATTAAATGCGCTAAAGGTGTTCAAAATGCTTATTATCTCAGCCACTGGCTCATAATAAGTACTCAATATAGATATTAGTTATTACTGTGTTTAACAGTCAATGGTTGGTTGGTTGGTTTGTTTTTACCTTAGGGATATTAAGGAAACAATCAGCGATAAAGAATCACAGGTCTTGTATCTGAAAGATGAAGTAAGTAGAGAGGGAGAACAATTTAAGCCAAGTGAACTGTACGTGCTAAGGCATGGATGTATAAGGAATTACAGGCAGTTCTGGTATAGGAAATGAGTAGTTCATTTTTCTTGGAAAAGCTACTAGGGAGGGAGAACTAGAGGTCAAATGATAAAGAGCACTGTATACCAAGCTAAGGAATTTGGACTTTTTTTTTCCTGTGGACTATGGAGAATTGTTGAAGCGTTCTCAAAGTGGAAGGACTATATCAGATTTACATTTTAGCAAAATCACTCTAATGGCAATGTGGGAAATGGAATGTAAGGAGATTATTTTTGTCAGAAAACCCATTATGAAAAGATACTGTTAAAGTACTGATGAGAGAAAATGGGAGGCTAAACCATAATAAGTAATCAATAAGTAATCAGTGATGTGATAATATACTAATAACATTTTATAAAATATAAAAAGCCATAGCTGCCATCACACTTTATATTAAATTAATGGCATACCCGTGTGGATGTTATTTGAAGGACATATTTTTCAGATAAAAGTGAGATTAAAACTTTATCTTGGCTAAAAGTTTATGGGAAAATAGAATGTATCATTAATATCAGTTACACCTAAATTATTTCTGGATTTGAGTTTAGTTTTCTTTTGTTTTTTCAGTATAAACCATGTAGAAATGAACGTTATGATGTATTTTGTATATGGAGGGACTTTGGACTTTCCAGACAAAGCTAATGTTGGGTATGTATTACCTTTTAATGATTTAAAATATAAAACTGTTAATATTTTTAGCTTTTGCTTTGTTGAACTAAATTGTAAAATGTCAATGCAGTAGAAGCTTCACTTTTATTACCCCTTTTGCCATATCTTGTGTGTATTTGGGAATATCTAAAAACAGTAAGTCACTGTTTCTAGAAGAAAAAATGTTCTAGCAACTCACAGTAATAAGATTAAGAAAAGAGACAAATTATGTTAGAAAAACCTTATATTTGTTTTAGAAAATAAATGAGAGGATTTTATAAAATAAAATTGATTAAAACCTTTTTTAAATTTTGAACAGTTATTTTACTACTTTATTTTTTAACTTTAGGGTGTTTCTTAAAACAGCGAAAGAAAAGCTTTAAAATTAATTTAAGAATATAGGCATCCTAAAGACCAACAATGATGTGATTCTTTAGTGCTCTATAGTGAAATGCTATTTAAGCTGCTGAAATCCTATTGGAGAGTGAAACCTACCTGCTCTTCTAACTTTCTGGATGTCCTCTCCTTTTATTTCTATTCTAATATCAGAACAAATGAAAGCTGCTCTTTTAATTTTCAATATTCATTGGTTCTTTTCATTATAAACTGAATACATATGATTTGGGGGGAGAAAGCATTATGAGTCACAAGGATTAAGTATTGAAGTTTTCCTCCTAGAAACCTATATGAATTTTATCACACTCTCAAGGCTTGTTGGTTTCCTAAGTACCTAAAGTATGTATGGATGCTCAGAAATATTTGCCAAATGAAAGAAGCAATGTAAACCTTTTGAATAGTTGGATGTTATCTCTAATCTTAGGGTCATTTATAAGCATTTCATATTAAATTAATCACATACCTGATAAGCATCAATTAATTGCCTTCCCCCCAAACTTTTATCATACAGATTTGTTGCAAATAGTTTTGGAATTTTAACAGCCTTCAAAGTAGTTTCCTGGACTTCGAGATATATCTGAGAATCTGAGGGGAATTTGATTAAAACGTCTTCAAATTTACTTCTTGTTATTCTCCGCTGTTCAAATCATGTGAAGTGCTTTCAACTTTTGGCCTTTTTTTTTTTTTTTAAAATCCTCACCCGAGGATATTTTTTCCATTTATTTTCAGACAGAATGGGAGGGGTGGAGAGAGAGAGAGAAACATCAATGTGAGAGAGACACATCGATTGGTTGCCTCCTGCATGACCAAGGTACGTGCCCTCGACTGGAATCGAACCCACGACTCTTTGGTTCATGGGCCGATGCTCTAACCACTAAGCCAAATGGTAAGGGCAACTTTTGGCCTTTTTATAATTCATAAAGATTATTTATTATGTAGGGTCAAAAGTTAGAATTAAATTAATAATAATTATAATCATAATTCAGGTTTTTCTTTTTTCTAAACAAGCTTTATATTATTAGGAAATTACTGTGTATTATTACTTGATTTTTAAGTTGGAGAATTAACACCATATCTATTTTTGTTTTAGTAAGATACTCAATATGGCTGATATGTATGGACTAGAAGGATTAAAAGAAGTAGCAATCTATATTTTAAGAAGAGATTACTGTAATTTCTTTCAGAAGGTAATTATTGAGTCTCAGAAACCTTTACCCAGTGCTTAAAGTTACACATGATTACATACTAGATTTTTAACTCTGACAGTAAATAGTGCTTTAAATCTTAAAAATATTAAGTTAACTAATGGGAACTTCAGTTGAGAAATAACTCATGTGCTGTACTTACAAAAAAACAAATTAAGATCATTTTAATTTGAATAAAATTGAGGTGGGGATTTATTGAAAGGATATAGGAATATCTTCTATAATTCAAAGATGAAGTGTACAGCTGGGACTCAGAGTTTGGAAATAAGAGAAAGGAGATCAGGAGCCAAGGTTACCTCTCCATTTATCAAAGTGCATTTATCACAGTGCTTCATTGGTTCATTTCCATGAAATTACACTCCCTTTTCCTACCACTTCTCTTTATAGCATGTACTTGGGGTGGAATATATGTCTCTTCTCACCTTCTCTCCAGGTGTAGTATAAATACTGATTTTTAAATTTTAGTTTATGTAAACATAAATTTATTGTCTAAAGAAAGATCCCATACTATATGTATTTATACAGATTCCATTTTGTACATTGTTTTTAGACTCTTCATTGTTTTAATTTACTCTGTGACTGCTTTTTTATTTGTGCTTTTCTACATTTTCTAAATATTCTACAGTGATATATATTACTCTCCTAATCAATGAAAAACAAGTCTTAGAATAATTGTTTACATCAATATTCTCCTCTTATATTGGATACTTGAGGCAACAATATACATTGTATGAATTGTAATTGGGTATTTTTAATAATTTCAGTACTTAAATTTAGATTTTTGTGTTTGGTAGGACTTTTCCCAGCTGTCTATAAGTTGTAGCTACAAAAGCACCCCAGGTACTAAAACAGAAGCATGAACAGCTGCTCCACCACTACCACCTTCTCAGGGTTTACTAAGAAACAGTTAAATGTCTCAGCTACCTTTACTCAACTACTTATTCCAGCCACTACAAGTAAGGGAATTAGAAGAAGGAGAGCAGTCTGGTGTCCTCAGCTTTGTAGAAAGTGAAGAATTCTGGTGGAAGATTTTCCTTCTCTTTTATCTGTTTCCCCCATCTTCTCAACCAAATGAAAGTTAGCAGGGAGATCCAAGCATATCCCAAGTAAAGATTAAAGATAGAGGGTATCTGCAATGAAGAGATAATGTCTTCTCATCGCCCAGAGGGACATCTACCATAGATATAAACCTAGCACACTCTGGAGCTTCCATTAAAGGAAAAAGAAAGTGGTGAGAGATTTCTTGGGAGAGCCTGGAATGTGCCTTAGAAACCAATAAGAGTATACTTGAATGTGGAGATTTCTAAAGGGAGGAGGGGGTTTTCTGGAGAAGCTAGTGCTAGCCTGGTGATTAGGGACAGTAGTTATTGTCATAAATAGAAAAAAATATGGGGAGTTTACTCTATACCTGTTACACATGGTACACAGGGAAGGAGGAGGATTTTAATGCTTCATGAAGATTGGAGGAGACTGATACAGGGCTAAGTGACACTGTTCCACCTGGGGAGTCATTGTGCATCATGAACCACTAGGAGAATCTTTATCTACTGAGAGACTAGGGTGAAGTTCATTCTGCCCCTAAAAGAGCCACCACATCGGCCTAGGCCACCAACATCTGAATTAGAGCAAAGCCAAGGACATCTCCCTACTACCATGCTGGCCTCTGGTTAGTTACTTAAGGTGACCAAAGCCGTCCATAGCCCTCTTCCACAGGAGTTAGACCCAGAAAATGGAGGAGCAGAAGACCAGACTAGTCTGCATTCTGTATGTCCCGTTATCAATGTAGTCAGTGATTCAAGTGAGATATGAGGTAGGTGTTTAACAGTACTGTACTGAAATTTGCCTGCAATGGCATTAAGGGATTAAAAAAGGGGGAATTTGACACAGTGTGGTTGACAGCTCTAGTTGAGAAAAAGAAGTTTAATGTTAGTATCTCCTCTGAACTGAGAATCCGTAACAGACCTATTACATCTAACATTTTTAAAATAATCTCTATTATGGATAGTCTTATGGGTTCTATGCAACTTCTTATATTTTACTTCCAATAATCCACTCAATTTTAAAACACAAAAGGCATATTTGTTGCCATTAAAACAACAGAAAAGGAAATTTTTAAAAATTGATTAACATGGTGTTTTGTTGAAAATTCTTTTCACTTTATTTTACTTATTTTAATATAGTCTATATTGCTCTGGTAACAGATATTTGAGAGTACACTTTCTGTTTTTATCGACCTGATCTTTAAATTATTTGCTTTACATACTTTGATAATGTTTGTGTGAACATACCTTTAAATATATAATTTTAACTTCTAGGTCTCGGTTATGCAGTTTCTTGGCAGTGACTTAAATTCAGTAAACCTTTAAAAACACACTCCATACTAATACAAATTTGGGTATAATACGATGGGTACCTGGCCCTGGAACTCCTGGCAAGCTGGCTTCAGTCATCTCATTAGCTTTATAATCTTGCTTTTATTTATAGGAGTATAGTGGGATTTACATATTTTTTGCCACTGATTTAAAAAATATTTAGGGAATGATTTAAATGTATGTCTTTCCACATTCTACAAGCCGTTTTGAAAATAACTAAATGTGAGTCGTTCTATTTTTACAAAAACACTTGGGAATCAGCATTTCCATATAAGTAAAATTCTCAGAAAGCTAAAGGTAACCTTAATTTAAGCCAAGGGTCAGCACACTTTTTCTGTAAAAGGCCAGATAGTAAATATTCTAGGCTTTGTGGGCCATGTGGTCTCTGTCCCATCTACTCCACTTTGCTGTTGTAGAGCAAAAGTAGCCATAGACAATATGTAAATAAAACAAGGTAGTAGTGTTCCAATGAAACTTCATTCACAAAAGCAGTGATGGGCTAGATTTGGCTTACAAGCTATAGCTTGCCAGTCCTCACTTTAAGTAGTAAATTATTTTGTATTTTAATAATTGGACTTTGTTGTAGAAGGCTGGTTATTCCTGAATAAAATTAGATTGTTGGACTTTTTAACTCTTGGGTTTACTTTTACAGTTTTTCAGACTTTCGGGATCTTTTAGATTGTCAAGTATGTCTGTACCAGTAGTCTGTTTCCCCATTCTAACTTAATACTCTCATCTGAAGTGGGTCAGAAAACCAACTTATTTAACTTGATAGAATTATCACTGTAAATCTATATTGAGAGTCATTTCTAATTTTAAGACAACTTAGAGTACTTCCAGCTATCCAAAGGAAACAACTCAATTGTTAATATGCAAAGCAGAATATTGATATTACATTTCTTAAACACTAATATAACACTTTAAGGAGAAGGGTAATAGACAATTAAATTCATAGCAATTCATAATTTAAAAAGTTGGAAATCACTGAGCTTATTAGGACTATGCTGGAGGCATTTCTGAAGAAACTTTTGCTCTTCTCTGAGAGTAGAGGATCTCCAGAAGTAAACATTTAGAGACTATATACACAAATTGGCTGATTGCTGGTCTTTATTAAGTGGATAAACCCTAAATTACAATTAATTAATATGTACAAAGAGAAGTTGAACTCTGTTCAACTTAAACTGAAGATATGTGACGCAGGCAACAAGTAGCTCAGAGGCTTAACACCAAGAGCAGTGAGTTGTTTTCACTACTTATATCTACATTTTATTTATTTGTTACTTCTGTCTATGTACTTTTAAAATATGTTATATAACTGTGTACTTTAATTCTGTCATTTTACCTGAGGTCAGTGTAGGGCCTTCCATTAAAGTTATAGTTGTACTTTAGGAAGCAGATGAGATCAAATGATTATATTGCAATGTGATGTTATACCACTTTTACTTTTAAAAAATTTTAAGCTAAATTAAATTAGAATAGAAATTGTGTGCATTCTGAAAGCTAAAAGAGCTCAAATGCTATTTTGTAAAACTAGAAGTTTAGTGATACTTGATTTTAAAAGAATAACAGACTTTTGAATTACACATATTTATTCTGCAATTTAGGTACATATATCAGAACATCTATATGAACCAAATACTTTTAGCTTCTAGAAGTTGAAAAATAATAAATATAGTGTTTTCTATCAATTTCAGCCTGTCCCTAGAAGCTTGGCATCTATACTAGAATGCCTGGTTATTGCTCATTCAGTTGGAGTAGAAAGTCTTTTTGCTGACTGCATGAAGTAAGTGACCTGAAGCAGTGCTGATACTGTTAATTTATGGATTTAATTCTTCCATTCTCCTAATTTTCTGGGAAATTTTAGACGTGGCCAATTTTCTTGGGCACAATATATGTAGCTTAATCTTAGCTAGTTGTAACAATTGAAAAGACATATTGATTTAGATATTACTCGGGGTGCTTGGGATCAATTTCATTTTAGCTCAACCATTGTTACTTATGTTAAAATCCATGCACATTAACCTAAAGGGAATTTAAAATATATGTTTACCCAGAAGAGAGCATACTTAAGTCCACTATAGAGCTTACAAAATTAACTGTAAGGGTTAGTCAGAACATACTAAATCACAAATATTTTTTAATATTAGAAATAAAACATTTTTATTTCTCTAACTTTGGATTTTTTAAAATTTATAACAGGTGGATTGTAAAGCATTTCGGAAGGTTTTGGTCTGAGAGAAGCTTTGCAAATGTACCTCCTGAGATTCAGAAACATTGTCTTAACATGTTGATTCAGTCCTTAGTAAGTATAACCTGAATACCCAGTTTGTGTTTGTCTTCAAAAAGTTTATTCAGTTTTGTGTAAGTACTTTCAATATTTTAAATATAAATGTAGCCCTGGCCGGTTTTGCTCAGCAGTTAGAACGTCGGCCTGTGGTCCAGAGAGACCTGGGTTCGGTTCCCGCTAAGGGCACGTACCTCGGTTGCAGTTTGTCCCCGGCCCTGGTTGGTCGTGCAGGTGGCAGCCACTCGATGTGTCCCTTTCACATTGATGTTTCTCTCTCTCTCTCTCGTCCTCTCTCTCCCTCCCACTCTATCTGAACAAAAAATGGAAGAATGTCCTCGGGTGAGGATAAAAAATAAAATAAAAAAAAATATATAAATGTAGAACTAGATTATAAAAGCAAGATGAGAGAACCAATTTCAGATAACCCAGAACCAGTTCTGAGAACCCATCCTTAAGATTCTGTTCTTATATACCAAATTCATTAGTCAAGGTTCATTCAGAGAAGCAGGGAGAAATATATTGGTTCATGAACAAAAGGCACATGGTACCAGGGATGGAGGTTATACATCAGCTCAGCAACATGGACTTCCACTCACTAAGGTGGATTTGGGTATAACACTGAAAGTTCTCTATGGCAACTTTCCCCAATAGGACTAGCTATCTACCTGGTGGCAGGTTAATTACAACTGGACTATTTCATCATGGAAAAGGCAGTCTGTTCTCAGAGGTATAGACATTTGCTCTGGATATGAATTTTCCTTTGTTGCTCCTTGTGTTTCTGCCAAAGCCACTATCCATGGACTTACAGAATACGTTTTTCACCATTATGGTATTTCACACAGCATCACTTCTTACTGAAAACTCCGCAGCAAATGAAGTATAGCAATGGGTCCATACTCACAATTTCACTGGGCTTATCATGTTTTCTATCAACCTGAAGTAGTTGGCTTGATAAAATGGATGTACAGTCTTTTGAAGACTCATGTACAGCACCAGTGAGGTAGCAGTGTCTTATGGGGTGGGGCAATGCCTTCAGGAGGCTGTATGTACTCTAAATTAATTTTTGCTTTATGGTGCTATTTCTCCTATAAGTAGGATTCATGGATCCAGAAACTAGGAAGTGAGAGTGGCTCCACATCCAATTATTCCTAGTGATCCACTAGCAAAATTTTTGCTTCCTGCTTCTACAACTTTAGTTTCTGCTGATCCTAAGGTCTTAGTTCCAAAGAGAAAAATGCTTCCATCTGGGAACAACAATGATTCTATTGAACTAAAAGTTGAGATTGCCTCCTTCTGGCTACTTTATAAACCAACAGGCAAAGAAGGGGAATTATTGGTAAATTGAGCCTGACTATCAAGGGGAGATTGGGTTACTATATAATGTGGGTAATGAGTAGTGTACTTAGAATGCTATACTCCCATATCCTATGATTAAAATCAATGGAAAACTAGTAACCAAATTTGGGCAGCACTGATAATGGCACAGACTCTTCAGGAATTAAAGTTTGGGCCACTCTCCCAGATAAAGACTACAAATAGCAGAGCAAAGGAACTGTGCAGTGGTAGTGGGAAAAGGTAGTTAAAAATACCAGCTATGAGCAAGTGACCAGTTACAGAAATGAGCACCATAATACTTAAGCTATAAACATAATTCATTTCCCTTTTTATATGAATGTTTGCATATCTATCAAATCAAGTATTTTTCCAGATTAGTCCCCTACCATCTAATATAAGACATGTTAATATTAGTTAACTTTATACCTCCATATTTAAGTTACAGGATACCAAAGGGGAATGTGAGTCAGTTTGAAGAGCAATGAACATCATCCAAAGACAATACAAGAGAATTTTTATCCTCTTTTAAGGAAAAAGTTAGCGTTTTTATTGCATAGGAAATAGTCATATTATGTTAGGCAGAAGCATAACTTTGTTATTATCTCTATTTGGGAATTAAATATGGTTTAAAGAGATGTGTATGGGTGCTAGGTTAACAAGGGGTGGGCTGCAGTGGCTTTGTTATGTGTCAGCTTGGCTTGGATGAAGTATGCTTCTCAGATTTCCTTTGTATATTTCTAGTTAGAGTGGTCTCAAGAGAATTTGGCATGAGATTTATACAGTAGAGATAAAGCAGCAGTAGCCTTTTTTTCTTTTTTCTTTTTAAACACCTTTTATAAGCTAAAAGGCACTTTTAGCTTATAACATTTTCTTTGTTGACTGGCTCACCTTGTTGGTGTGGAATAGCAGCCAGGCTTGTAACTGCTTCACCTTGCTTGTATCTTCTTTTGGCTTCTCTTCCCATGGGCCAGGGATGTGTTTACCTCCGTGGTGAGGGGTGCCCACATCTCCTGAAGGACATCTATTTCATCCAGATTGGAGTCAGTGAGAGCTGAAATGAGTCCCTCCTTGCGGAGCAGCTTATGCCCTTGGATATTAGCTTGTCCTTACTCTTCACTTTATGTCCATCTTCCCTTCTCGACTGCCTTCCCTGTGGACTTCAAACTACAGCATCATCTACAAAGAGTGTTTAACTATTTCCCAAAATTGCATAAGTTCAAACCTTATAACAAATTCCTTTATATATATAAATACCTCCTATTGGCCCTGTTTCTCTGATTGAACCCTGAATGAAGTGTAAGACTGGGTCACATAGCATCTAAACCTTACTGGGAGAGTAAGTGTAGGCCATCAGCTGGTGAGACACCATTGCATAAAATAAATATAAATCTGTGTTTATTCTAATGAAGGTATTTGTAGTTTCATGTTGTTGTTTGTACAAGTAGAGAATCCATCCAAGATGGTTAGTGCCTAATGAGGAAGGGAGATAAGGGGAAGGGCCATGTTTCAGACCAGGGAAATGGCAGAGTTTGGTAGGAACTGAGTACCTATGCTTCCTTTAGCAACACCCAGCCTTCAGGATGCTCTAGGTTTCATTTCTGGCCTTGCTCCCTGGCAGAAAGAAGAGATACAAGATGTCTGTGGAGGAGGTGTCAGCATTCCCTGTGATCTGAGACTGAGAGGTTGGGATGGCCATGTGGGCTGGGGACCCACCCAGGTTATCTACTCAGTGCCTAGTTCTAAGAACTGTAGTTTTTTGCCCTGGCCAGTTTGACTCAGCGGTTAGAGCATTGGCCTGCAGTCCAGAGAGACCCGGGTTCGGTTCCCGCTAAGGGCACGTACCTTGGTTGCAGTTTGTCCCCGGCCCTGGTTGGGTCGTGTGGGTGGCAACCACTTGATGTGTCCCTTTCACATCGATGTTTCTCTCTCTCTTTCTTCCTCTCTCTCCCTCCCGCTCTATCTGAACAAAATATCGAAAAATGTCCTCGAGTGAGGATAAAAAAAAGAACTGTAGTTTTGTTGCTTACTATTTTGCATTAGTTTCTTTGGTTAGTGAATAGTTATTTCCTGTTCATGAAGGCAAACAAATGGCCTGGCTATAATCCAGTTCAACAGAACTGGAAACAAATACCACTACTGCTGCTGCTACTACTACTAGTACTACTACTATGAGGAGGGGGAAGAGCAGAATGAGGAAGAAGAGTGATAATAGTAATAATAGTAGTGTTTGATGGGGTTTTTTTAGACTTTTAAAGTTCAAAAATACTTATTTTTTTGAAAATTTGTATAAGACAGGTACTGTTATCTTCATTTTACATATGAGAAAGAAGAATCAGAGAGGTACGTGCTTTATTCATGTTCACAGTGTCAGTAAATGACAAAACCAGGTCTTAAGACCTTGCTGCCATTCTCTCAATGTGGGCAAACATTTTTTTATTTTTAGAGAAGAATGGGCCTTCATATAGATCAATGGAACAGAATAGAGAGCCTAGAAGTAAACCCATGCTTTTATGGTCAATTAATATTTGACAAAGAAGGCAAGAACATACAATGGGATAAAAACATCTATTCAATAAATGGTGTTGGGAAAATTGGACAGATATGTACAAAACAATGAAACTAGACCACCTTCTTACACCATACACAAGAATAAACTAAAAATGGAATAAAGACTTAAATGTTAGACTCGAATCATAAAAATCCAAGAAGAAAACATAAGCAGTAAAATCTTGGACATTTCTCAAGCAGTATTTTTCTGATATATCTCCTCAAGCAAGGGAAACAAGAAAATAAATAAACAAATGGGGCTACATCAAACTAAAAAGTTTTTGCACAGCAAAAGAAACTATTGACAAAATGAAAAGACAGCCCACTGAATGAGAGAACATATTCACCAATGATATATCTGATAGGGGTTAAATTTATAAAATACTTATACAATTCAACCACCAAAAAAACCCCCCAAAACCCACATATACTGTAATTAAAAAAATGGGGAAAGAACCTGAATATATACTTCTCCAAAGAAGACATACAGATGGCCAACAGACATATGAAAAGATGCTCAACATCAGTAATCATCAGAGAAAAGCACATTGAAACCATAATGAGATATCACCCCTCACCTCTCAGAATAGCTATCATCAATAAATAAGCAAACAACAGGAAGTAAAGAAAAGGGAACTCTTGTGCACTGCTGGTGGGAATGCAGACTGGTGCATGCATTGTGGAAAACAGAACAGAGTTTCCTCAAAAAATAAAAAAATAAAACTGCCTTATGACCCAGTGATTCCACTTCAGCGAATATATCTGAAGAAAACCAAAACGCTAATTTGAAAGAATATGTGTACTATGTTTATTGCAATGTTATTTACAATAACCAAGGTTTAAAAGTAGCCCAGTGCCCATCAGTAGATGAGTAGATAAAAAAGCAGTGATACACAGAATTTATATGCATGTATGCATGAACAACGGACATGGACAACAAAGCTGGGGAGGGGCGGGGAAGGAGAGGGTGGGGGGAAAGGAGAAACATCTGTAACAAAAATAAATTACTTAATTAAAAAAAAAAGCAGTGATACATTTACACAATGAAATACTACTTGACCATTTAAAAAAAAATTATAGAAACAGACAACAGTATGGTGATTATCACAGGGAAAAGGGGTTTGGGGAAGGTA